CCCCAGGAGTGCAGCACAGGTTTGGGTGGCTCTGGCACCGGGCATATGGGCAGTCTCACCCCTGGGCGTGTGGCGGAGGAGAGGTACCGGCCCCGGGAGTGCGGCGCGTGGGTGGCACTGGCACCGGGCACGCAGTGTATGGGCGACCCCACCCCCTGGGCACCCGCGCATGAGCCACCCGCCCCCGGCAGCCCCAAGAGGTTGGGGACGGCTGCATTAGGACTAGCAGGCTACAGCTGGCAGTGTCTCAGGGCCACCTCAGCCGGGAATAGCTCCTGGGCAGGGCTCTGCAGAGGTCAAAGAACCAGACCGCTAGGGGGTGAATTTAAATAAATTGGTTTTGCCTTTAATCTGCTACCGCTGAGCAGGGATGGAATGAAAACGGGAGGAGGAGGGAAATTCAAACCATGGCCAAGCCAGAAGGGGCCACGAGACCCCAGCCTGTGGTCTGCCACCCATCTCCCCCTCCCCCCGCTCCTGGCTGTGCCCAGCAGGGGTGAGTTGAGTCTTCATGGGAGGGTCCTGTCCCTCCCCTGCCTGGCTCACAGCAACATCCCGTCCCCAAGGAGGCCCCCCAATTTAACCCTTTCCATCCAGGGGGTCAACATAGACGGTGACTCTGCCAGGAGCTGCAGGAGAGGAAGAGCAGAACACAGGGTTAGGAAGGCCTGGGGCACAGCACTTGCCATCCCACGGTAACCGCCGAGACCTGCAGAGGGACCTGGGTGCAGGAGTGCTGGGAAGAGGGGGGCGGAACAGGACCCTGGGTGCTTTCTTTTCCCTCCCATTTCCCATCATGGACTGAAGGGAGGCAAATTCAGCCAAGCTCAAAAGGGAAAGCTCTTTTGAATGTAGAGGCAGGGGGGGCCTGGGGAACTCCCTGCCACTGGACATCCTGGAAACTAGGAACAAACAAAATTAGCGAGAACAAGAGCAGCTGGCTGCACCCCAGCCCCACCCCCCACTCAGGAGCGCCACAGCCCGTCAATAGGGGCCACTACTGCAGATCACACCCCTCCCTCTTGCGCAGGGCTAGGGCACCAGGGCACTTACCTTGTCTATGCAACTTCCATAGATGATCCCATGCTGCGGAGACAGAAGGGAGAGGAAATTATAGCAGGACAGTCAAACCCAGGAACCCTGTACAGTAAGGGGCAGGGCCCCACGTTCATCAGGCCCCACACTTGAGACCACAGAGGAACACACGTTACTCCTCCCCTCCCACCACTGTGCCCTCAACGCAGTGGGTCTTGAAAGCCTACAGCTGGACTTCCTACCTCCCCCCCAGCCTGCCAGCGCCCCAAGTCAGCACTCACCTTCTGTGTGATAGTCACATGCCTCCTCCCAGTCCTTGTGGCTCATCTGTTCCCAGCAGTCTGTGCTCTGCCCGGCAGCGGCCAAAGGCCCCTCGGCAGGGTCGCCAGGCCCCTGCAGTCCCAGAGCTGACATGGTGGATGTTTCCTCGGGGCCCAGGGGCAGGGGCTTGGCCCCAGTCTGGCCAGCGCCTGGCTCGTTGATGAAGGGGATCTGGAAGATGGCACCCAGGTGGGGCTCAGCAGGCGGGGGAGGGGTGCAGTTGGGCAGCGGGCCAGCCGTGCGGAGGGCCGAGGCTGGCACTTGGGCTGGCTGGCGCTCCAGATTCTCCTTCAGCTTGCTGGCATAGCTGATCTTGGGCAGGGTGCGGGCGCGGCTGCTGTCCACTGGGAACGCTGGGGGGGGGGGGAACAGGGCTGGGCTGGCTGGCGCTCCAGATTCTCCTTCAGCTTGCTGGCATAGCTGATCTTGGGCAGGGTGCGGGCGCGGCTGCTGTCCACTGGGAACGCTGGGGGCGGGCGGAACAGGGCCCATGGCTCCGGCACCTTCTCCGCAACTTCCGGAGTGGCGGAATGGCCGCTGGCTTGGGCGGCAGGCTCAGGGCTGCAGGGGGGCTCAGGGAAAGGGCGCCGCCGGGCAGCCCATCCCCCCCGCCCGTCCCCAGGGCCGTGCCCGTTGGTGCTGGGCCCCCACTCCTTGGC